TATAGACATATATTTTTATTAAGTATACAGGGTGTGCCTTTTAAAAGTAGTCTCCTCATAGACTAGGCCACGAGTCGCCTCTGATGTAAACCATTTAAAATCAACATGGTCTGGCAAAAAAGTTTAATTATTTGAATTATGTTGTCAATATGACCCAAAAGTTGTGAAACTATTTCAAGAATTTTTGAAAGAAATTCAATAACATTTCTTTGTACATAAATAAAACGTCTTTTATCATAATTTTCTTTAAAATAAGTAAAAGTATCGATGGTCTTCTAACTCTTTGCAGTCAAAACTATTAAGTTTCTTAATAAACCCTGCAACATAACTAGTGGCCTGACTCAAATTCTGCTTCATTTATTAATTTTGTATATATTATTAAAATGAACTTTATCCACACAGGACTCTGTTTGGAGGTGTGATAACAATATTACTAAGTACTACTATCTTTGGTGTATCTGGTTTTGAGGATGCGAAAGCAAGGTAAAGCAAATCTTTTAGCAGTCTTGAAGGATTTGTGTTTGTAAACAATTTTGTATCAAAATATGATTTTCACATAATGTATAATGATTGGGGTTGTAAGTGGAATGTTTAAAATACGACACCATTCCGTTCTTTGATCAATATCAGAAGGAAATTTAAAAATGTTTGTTCTTAAAATTTACGTTTGGAATGGGCCTTATAAAATGTACTATAACAATTAGAAATTATGCGTTTATAATGAATTCTGCCTGGTAAAGACATGTTAAAGCATCAAAATACCTTTACTTGATTTTAAATAATCCTAAATAACTTATATCTAAAAAAATAAAAGTAGTTCCACTCACATGTTTTCGTCGACAACCAAATCATAACATAACCACACATTTGTTTGATTTTGATGTTATTTGTTGACAGCGCGCGTGGGGCCCGCTATAGCGGGCAGCCAGCAGTCATGCAGCGGACAGAAAGCCATCTTCACATAGTACAAATAACTAAGTGAAGGTATGTTTTTTTAGTTTTGTTGTAATATATGAATTAAAATTTTTGAAACAACACTTTTTGTGTGTTACTGAACGAGATGTTATTAAATTAATCAATGTGCTTTACATTTTAATACAATTTTGCTATTGTAAAACGGACTTCAGAGCACCCAAGCTAGGAGGAGTATGCGCAGAAACGTGTTTACGTATTGTGCATATGATATAAACCCCCGTGGAGTGAGCAAAGCTCCTATGTTGTAAATGGAAAAAGGGCGCGCCTGGCCGAACGTCGTTAGTAGGTGGGTGGATCGAGTATAGCGTGATCTTTTGGTGTCTTTTGGCGCCCGGCCGACATTTCGAAATTCGCGTGAATTTCGAAATGTCAGATTAGGTGAATCCCTCTAGATAATCGTTAGATTATGAGACAGCACGTCTAGGACATAAAAATTAATCATATATATCTTAATCTGACGCGCTTGAGTATTTCAAAATGGCGAATTTTTTTGCACATTATAATAATGGCCGCGAGTTTGCGTCACATCGAAATCGTCAAATTATTGAATGAGAGCTTCTGTTCGGTTCACTTAACACCCCCTTAGAAAACCCTTACGTACAACCACATGCATCATGCAAACGATCAGATTAACATATCTACATTATTAAAAATACGTAGGACATTGATGCCATCAATATCTGACGCGTTCGAGTATGTCCATGCAACAGTATTTTTTTACATATTTTTAACCGACTTCAAAAAATGATAAGGTTCTCAATTCGTCGCGATATTTTTTTTATGTATGTTCAGCGATAGTTCTTTAACACGGTGTCCGATTTCAATGATTCTTTTTTTGTTAGAAAGAAGATACTTCAGGGGTGGTCCCATATTAATTTGGTTAAAATCTAATAATTGGGTCCATTAGAAAATCCTCAAACTCTTCATTTTTAATGTATGTTTAGCTGTAATTCTTTACTACCTTGTCCGATTTCTGTTTCTTTTTTTGTTAGAAAGGGGATACCTCAGAGGTAGTTCCACATACAATAATTGGTCAGGATCTGATGAACTATGAGAAAATAAAAAATCTTAATTTTTTTAGGGCACCTGCACGATTTTGAAGTCGGTTTTTTAATTAAAAAATTATTACATATTTAAAAATCAATAGCCGCTTCCTCCACCGATGAAAAGGTATATATTATATGACATTTTTTTCTTATCATCTAAGCTTTGCAACCCAATAGGTCTCTATGACGCTCGAGTAAATCCCCATTTAGCATCGTGGGCTCTCCTGCTATTATGGGATACAGTCCGCCCTGGTTTTATAAACTTATTTAGTGTGCAAAAAGTCAACTAGTTTTAGTGCAGGATTATATTCGCAACCCAGATCAATGTTTAGCCACGTATTTTTTTATTTAAAAATGGTAGTGGGTTCGCCTTATGGTCCACCATGACTTAACCTCTGATTTAAGATTTATGGTTTAGATGGGTGTTCAAAAGAATAGAATATTCTGTAACAAGGTTGGAATGAAAATTCGATACGAGTGGAAGAGTCTGAACGCGAGAGCAGTGGCGGCTCGTAGTAATTTGAAATGGGTGTTCACTTTTTCCAATAATTTTATCATTTATAAGTTTGGATCAAAACTTTGTACAAGAGTCAATATCGCTGTTTTTTTATTATTTTAGTTTGTATTAAGTGTAGTTATTATTATCAACATCGACTGTTTTCAAGCACTACAACTATTAATAAATGAATATTTTAGTTAGTGTAATATTTGTTTTGTTTTTAATATATTGAAAACAATCTATAAACATTATTAGTTAGTAAACTGACTTTTCTTCATAATTTTTTAAATATATATCAGGTTATATAGAAACATTGACATTGATTTTTGTGTAAAAAATTTTATATGAAACTTTACCTACCATTTTTCAGTTTTTATTGTAAGTTTAATCATTTTCACAATTTGTCACAGATATCAAATAAAAAATATATTTTTTAAATACGTTTTATTGGCATACAAAATAAGAACTAAAATGTTTTAAATGTTTATTTTATAAGATCAGTCCCATCAGCCTCATTTTCATTTAATACCTGCAGTGATCCAAATTACCATAACATCTAATATTTTTGAAAATACTAAATTATACAAACAAGGCAATAAAATAAAATAAAGATTTCTGGTTTGTATGCAACAAACGATATAGGTTAGAGGGTAATACGATTGATAATTACTGGCAAATATAACTTTATATAGGTAAACTATTTAAATGTACATACCATTTCTTAGGTAAAATTTCTCATCGAGTATATTAAATTAATTGGTTGATTCATTTTTCCGATTTAGACTTTTAAAGTGAAAAACCATTTGTTTCTTTATCTTAATCAAATTTTTATTGTACATTTCCATAATGATGTCAAACAGTTACCTCATCAGAATAATTAAATTTTTCCCTGGGTTTTGTGGGAAAAAAAATTTTTTGCATACTTCTTCCTTCATAGTATTTACAATTGTGTACAAAATAGACCATTTTGAAGTTGTTTTGGATGGTCTTAGACTGAAACAAAATATAAAACAAATTATAGTCATAAAACTTTACTATAAAATAAATAAACAAAACATAACCTTAAAATATTTTATTTATTTACCTTGCCTTAGAAGTTTATCGGGAACAATCATTACATTGAAACACATCCTTTCAGTTTATTAAAGTTGCAGTTCTTAAACGCATTTTCTTAAATAATTACAAATAAAATAATCTTAATTTTATTAAAATCGACGAAGTGACAGTACTGACAGTACTGACGTTGACAGTTTGTTTGATTTGGTACAGTGTTGCCAGAATATGTTTTTGTTATGTACCAGATTTGTCTAAAAATTGTACCAGATTCCTTAAATGTACCAGATTTATCGAATTTTATTTGCAGTGACATCTAAATTTATTGAAGAGTAAAAAGGGGGATTATTATTGATAACAAACCCAAATAAGGAACACATATATATATTTTTTACACGTGAACACTTATGCACGCAGACTGTACTACATCTAGTACAATTGTGAATTGTACTAGACTGGCAACACTGGTTTGGCAACCTTGTTTGTGAGCTGCGCGCCAATTAATGTATTCTTTGACAGTTTGAAGGATCTGTTGGGGTGTTGTTTTCTCTTTTTAGCTATATGTATTCCTCAAATCGTCTCACTCGTGTTAGGCTCACTCATCATAATGCGCCACAATTACGGTATACTTAGGTATATTGTGCCACAGAGACGCGATCAGCCAGAAAGCAATGATATACCAAAAAAATATAGATTAACACGTATGAAAATAAAAATATTAAAATTAAATTTATATTTTTGTTATTTATGTAATTTTAAAATAATGTGTCTTTATGAAATTGAACTGGGTGTTCACTGCACAAATGAACCAATGGAGAAACCGCCCCTGCGCGAGAGTAATAGACCGTACTTTCTTCACGGCCACAGATACAGTAAGAGTTGAATATAGAACATAGTAAAACTTAACTTTGAACAAAATGAAATATTGAATCTAACTTATGTTAGGCAAGTTTCTTTATTTACATTATTTGCATATTTTGTCAGTTCAGGAGGAATATTATCTATTTCCATATAAAAATCATTATATTCGCTAATTTTTGAATTTAAGTTCGACTTAACAAACGCCACTTATCTTTATTCAGGCAAATTCAAACTAAATACTAATACGTCGCGCAGAACTGTCAGTCATGAAATTCATGACTATCTACGATGCGGTCGTGGTATTCATAGCCATTAGCCAGTAGCTATTACATTCTGTTTCTAGAGTTAGCATGAAAAACGTGTAAAATACATAAGGGGCAAGTGTTTTAAAATTTTCTTTTAATCTCTATAGCGAAAATTTTTTCTTTCTGTTATTATAAATGGTTTCGGAAGAACTACATTTAGTAGTGGCCGTGGAGAAAAAAAATTTAAACCATCATTTTAATATTTTATTGTACTTAGGTACATCTTTCTTGAAAATTTTTAATTGTTTATTTATTTTTCAGAGCACATGACTTCGGTGAATCCCCAAAAAATGGTTTACTTAATTAACACCTCGAACTGTAGAATTCCAGATGACGATCCGTTCAATGCTGATATCATCGACTTTATTAAAGAAGAAAAACCGTATAAATGTTCGAAATATGATCTCCTTTCTTACATAGATAAGAAAAACGGAATTGTCTCGTTAAACATTAATAAATCTCTCGTAGAAGCTTACAGTAACTTTAAGATCCAATGTTGTTACTCAAATATTACTAGAATTGACTATGAAGTCCGTGCTGATAACCAGATCAAGTGAGTTTTACAAGTACTATTATCAGCTTAATTTTTAGCCATAATTTTTTGAGATTAAATATTTTAAGGTTATGTTATTTATAGTGTGTACGTCATCAGTGACAAACGAAATAAGTACACATACATATAACCCAGTATAACCAGTGGCGGCATACTTAGTATACAAGTTTTCATAAAATTAATTAAATAATCATCGAAAGGTTGCAAATTCGTTTTTCGCATATCGACCCTTTCGCCGACCAAAAAAAATGGCCACAATATTATGCTAGGTTTAGAAAAACCGCGTTGAAAATATATCTCAATTTCGATGAAAAAAATAAATATCCGTCACATTTGACATTTTTTGCGTAACACTCCATATTTGTAAATTATAATGGTATTTTTCAATATTTTTATCGGATGCGTACTTCTTAAAATATGGTTTAAAGAACATAAGATATCTCATTAATTTTATTACGGTTTCAGTATTTTCTTATTTCAAACTGTAAAAAAAATCTTCATCTCAATAATATATATACCTAATATTTAAACCTTATTGGGAACAGTAGCCATATCGTTTTTAATGTCAAGCATATATTGTTTTGACTAGCGACCCCCTTTCTATTGTGCTGGCATATTATTCATAACGTATGTTCAAAATTTGTCGGCATAACTTGAAAATATTGCTATCATAGTTACTTTGCAAAGTTAGTTTCATATATGTTTATTTTCAGATTTTAAAAGGTACCATGTATAATCCATCTAAAAAATAGGTGGTGCTAAATTGTTCAACTTTTTTTCTCAACAAATTACAAACTACTCAATTTCTTACATATTTTTTCTTTTTTAGGTTAACTGATTGCATCCCATTTGAAGAGTCAGTCGAGCTTACCTTCCCATACGTACATGTCAAATGTTTCAACAAACTTATGAACGTTTATACCAATGTTCATGCAACGACGTTACCTCTACCAAAACGAACCACGTCATCTAAAAAAAAACCAAAGTTTAGCGTTTTACTATTAGGAATAGACAGCATGTCAAAGTCTAACATTCAAAGAAGCATGCCAAAGACATTTGCGTACGCTGAAAAACATTTTAATACCTTAAAAGGATACAACAAAATAGGTGAAAACACCTTTCCAAATCTAATGGCTATTCTTACAGGTTACAACATGCTTCAGCTAGCTGATATCTGCAACAATTCTGTGAAATTAAATAACTGTCAATTTATCTGGGATAAATTTAGAGAATCTGGTTATATTACAGCTTATTCAGAAGATGAGTGTTGGATTAGTACTTTCAATTATGACAGACCAGGATTTTTAGACGAGCCAACCGATTTTTACTACCATTCTTACTTTCTAGCAGCCGAAAAATTAAAAGTTACAAAACGACATTCAATGACTTATTGCGCTGGTCCAGAGACATCTGGCGAGAGATTATTAAACACTGCTAGAGATTTTGCTGTCACATTTAAAGATGTTCCTAGTTTCGGCTTATTTTGGGCTAACAGTTTTAGCCACGATGACGTCAATATGCCAGCTGTTATGGATGAAGCAACCTTTAGATTGCTAAGTGATCCTGAATTTATTTCTGCTCTAAAAGATACCATATTAATATTTTTTAGTGATCATGGGTTTAGATTTGGTAATATTAGATATACCCATTCTGGTTGGTTAGAAGAAAGATTGCCTTTTTTGTACATCAAATTTCCTGATAAATTCAAGAATCTTTACTACGACAAATATTTGAACTTCTTAGTTAATACTGAAAGATTAACAGTTCCTTATGATTTGTTCAATACTTTTCAGAGTATTTTAGAAATAGGAAATGGTAGTTACGAAATTAATTTTAGTAAAGGTTGTCCAGAGTGCCTATCTCTATTTTCTAAAGTACCAGAGGATAGAACTTGCGAAGATGCTCATATTGAGCAACACTGGTGTACCTGCAAAGGACACACTTATATAAATTCAAATACGCCAATAATACATCTTCTATCTCAATTTGTTGTTAATGAAACTAACAATTTAGTAAAACGTTTACCACAAGGGTATTTATGTTCGCCATATTCATTAAACAAAATTCGTTCAGCAGGTATTTCAGAACCATACATTAACCATCAAAATAAAACTGTCCATTTTTATCTTGTTATGGTTGAAACCGCTCCTCCAGCCATATTAGAAGCCACCGTTGAGGCTTCTATTAACAGCGGCAAACAATCGTTTAACTTATTGGGGAATATCAGTAGAATAGACAGATATGATCCAGTGACATGGTGTGTTAAAAATGGCCCTGTTAAAAAATATTGTTATTGTGCCAAGAAAACTATTTTTAACTTTTTTAAAAATGTATTTTCTTTTTGGTAGTTACATACTAAAATATTTGTATATATTTGATACTTTTAAAGAAAAGGAAAACAAATTTATTGATGGATATATTTAGTTTAAATTTGATTTTCGGTATTTTTCTTAAGACCCTCAAATATGCCGACTGGAAAAATTAAGTTTGATTGGTACGAGGGCTTTCCCGTGGAAAATGATCCTAGGGTAAGTTGAAAATGAGTGGGATGATCTCATGGCCATACATTGCTACCCAAATGGATATATTGTGGCTCATCCTTTCAATATAACTTACATCTGTTACAATTTACAATACACCTCGACGGTGCAATTGTTTTATCCCGGTGAAAAAATACTTTTGTTAGCAAAATGGTCATCTACAGCCAACCTCATTTTCTTTTCATCAGAAACTCTTCCACCTTTTTTAAATCTTTAAACAAATAAAAATCGCTGTGGGTCAGAATCCCAGAATATCGTTGCCATAAGTTTGGTAGCCACTCTTTTCAGAAATCAATATTTAATCACAGGTTACAATGTGAAGAAAATTACGCAAATCACTCTTCGGTCTCGATTTATCGCCAACCTTACTCATTGATAAGTGTGTATTTGGATTTGTCTAACACTGTCCTTGCTGATCTTTTTAGTTTCTCTGCTATATGACGAACCATAATTCGACGGTCTTCGAGGACTAACTTTTCCATATTTTTAATATTATTTTCCGTAACCATCATCGTGCAATACGGTCCTGGGTGCTCATCGTCTTTAATTTACTCTCGTCCTTCTTTAAACAGTCGAGTTCACATTTTAACCATTGCAAAATATAGTGAACATTGTGGATAGGGGCAAATAATTTGTCGTTGATTTCTTTGGCAGATTTAACTTTTTTTATTCTATCTATCTAAATAAGGGTATAGTTTAAAGCACACTTATACTTACTATCTAGGCTTACTGTATCTCTCCCCGTTTCTACCCCCATCAGGTTAATATTTTACTTAATTAGGTTACTTTTCTTGATGAGTTTAAGAACATGTCTGATTGATCGCTTTCGCGATTTCTTCGGGTTTCGGATATTGAACCCTAAAGCGTCATTCCCGTTCCAATTTAAGGTTCTGCCAATGGCATAATGGACCCCTATGAATATTCTGGACTACCTGAGCTTTTAAGGTATATTTATCTGTTCCATTAGCACCCTTTTAACATGTTAAAATAAAATACAACATATTGGTTCTTATTCAATGAGAAATTTCTCAGCTCTCATCCTGGCTAAAGAGTCTGCTTTCTCATTTCACTACCTTGTTATGTGACCCTCTTATATTTAAAAGGGATTTAGCATAACCTGGAGCCAGGCATTTATTGAATTTATTACTGCATGGTAGGGGAGGTTGGGGCAAAGAGGCCACCTTAATAAAAAAGTTGTGGAAAAATAAGATAATTATGATTCTTTAAAGTTTATATAATACAAATACATTTTTATATCTCTTATCTCTCATATTATATCATACTGTTTAAACTTAAAGGAATCATAAAAAATGTAGAAGCGTTTTTATAGTAAAATGTAAAAAAACCGCTTTGCCCCATATGTGGGGTAAAGTAATTCCATTTGTGGGGCAAAGTGGAAATATTTTAAACATATTAAAATCGTGGATTTAAAACACATATTATGCTAAAGTCAACCTTTATTATTACACAGAATTAAATATGAAGTTATTCTTAAACTTAAAAATTAAAAAACGAACAAATTTTAAATAAGGAAAAATAAACCATTTTTTGAAGAGGCAAATTACAAAACTTCACTAAGATCTTCTATATCAGGAAAAACATAGATGTCCATTGTTTGTCTATATTGCCTCAGAAAGGATACAAAAATGGTATATTGTGCAGTATCAACATTTTTATCTATAGCAGTTATTTTAGCTACAAATTTTTTTTTTCGTTTGTTTTTCTGATGTTAGCTCTACAAATATGAAATCACCTGCATTGAGTTGTTTACAATCAATTTTGTCAATCGAATATCCCGATGGTTCTGGATAAAATTGAAATTCACTTCCTGAGTCATCCGTGTCATTTAGCTCAACTGTGGTCGAACTATCTGATGAAGATTCGTCCAATTTTCTTTTTTCAGTTTTTGCCATCAGATTCTTTTTAACTGCTTTCTTTTTCGTTTTCGGAGTTTTTTGTTTTTCTGAAATTGCAATTTTAAGCTCTTCATAGTTTGGAGTTGACGTTAAGACCATTGTTTTGCCCTTCTTAAATTTTCTCTTCACTTGTTTTTTCTCCTTCGAAATAGGTAGAGGAAATATATCACATGGCGAATAATAGAGCTTCTCAAAATTTTCTTTTTCGATTATTTCTCGCGATTTTTTAAAAGCTTTTGGGGGTGGTGTCCTGGCGTTGGATGGTCCTGGTTGTGGGGATTTACTATTTTCAACTGTTCGCGCATTATCAACTACTTCATGTAGGGGAGTGGTTGGCCGTTCTTGATCAATAGGTTTATCTGTTGCTTCTGCTGGTTTAAACAAATCTTCCGGAAATATATCTGGATTGTACGGAACAATTCCAGTTGCTTTAAACCCATTGACAGCAATTTGAGTAGTTGCCGCTCGTTGAAATGCGGTTCCAAAAAGTTCTCCAACTTGATAGATAGTAACAACCTTTCCGGGGTTATTAAGCAACCATTTTCTAGTTTCTTGTTCATAATATGAGTTTAGAGGGTACATAAAAGAAACATCAAGTGATTGTAACCGGTGTGAAGTATGCGGTGGTATTACAATTATATGCACATGGTTAGCTCTAGCACTCTCAACTAGTTGCAAGTTTTTCGTATGTGTAGAGTGCCCGTCTAATATTAACAACACTGGATCATCCTCTGATGGTTTAGTGTATTTTAAAAAGTGCTGGAACCAAATATCTGAAAATATCTCACTCTGCATCCACCCAGATTGATGATATGCCACTACAGACTCTGGAGGTAACCCCTGCTCCAGTGGAGGACATTTTCGAACTCTAGGAAATATAACTAAAGGAGGAATGTAAAATCCAACTGCATTATAGCAAATCTCCGCTGTAGTTAAGGTCCCACGTTCAGCTGACGAAAGACTGCCAACTTGCTTTTTTCCTGTTAAAGACAATATTTTTGAGTGTTTGTTTGGCACCGTAGAAATACCCGTTTCGTCACAATTGAAGATTCTACTAGGAGAAAATTCATATTTTTCGAGCATTTGTTTCATTAAATTATAAAATGAAGACACATTATGTTTATTAAACGCGGACGCTCTTGCTTGTGATGTGTATTCTGGAAGCCTCAATGAAATATTTGTTTGTCTTTTTAAAAATCCGTCCAGCTAAACCCTTGTTGGTATTAAAATTATGTGGAATACGATTTTTATCGGCATATTCAAAAGCAAGTCGCCGTAATTCCGTAATAGTTAGGCCAAAAAGTCTACTTTCCATATCAATTATAAAATTGGCCAATTCTTGTTCTTGTTGGCTAGAAAAAGTAGTTACAAACCTTCCTAACTTCTTTTTAGAAGCATTTTGAGGATTTTTTTCAGACTTAACACGTCTTCTTAAAGTCGTGAGAGGAAGTTGATACTGTATAGCTGCCTTTTTCGCACTAATTAAACCATGTCTAACATCATGTTGGCTGCTGCCATATTGTCTTCTGACCAAGAATGTTGTTTGGTCTTACGCTTATAATTTCGTACCATTATTTTTCTCAAAAAGAAAAAGTATATTTTTAGATTCATTTATTTTTCCAATTTAATTTCATGTATATTGTCAGCTCTAACATATGTGGGGCAAAGTGGCCCACTGTCCACTTTGCCCCACAACAAAAAACCACTTTGCCCCTAGATGCATCAACAAGTATCAACAAAAATTAAAAAAAAATAGACATATATTTTATAATATCTACCTTGACTATAATTCGTAAAACACATAATACTATATGATAAAAATATAACACCAAACAAATTGTTAATAGTTAAAAGCAGATCGGCTATTTACTTACCTATAAATGTTGTAAAATAGACGGCAAAAACTTTTCAGACACACTAACGACTTACATGTGCACTGCTCTGAGTTTCAATACAGACTGATTAGTTCAGCTAATGACAGGGAACTAATATGTGTATTTGTGCTTACGGTGCTCATGCGCTTGTTAGGATAATGGAAAATACCACTTTGCCCCGAGTGGCCGCTTTGCCCCAACCTCCCCTACATTATCACAGCACGTAAAATTGATACATCGCAGTTATTGATATTATGTGAATTTTTTTTTTACACAATTTTCGCCAAATAGCCCTCGTATACGTACTTAAAAAATATTTTACTATCATCTTGATTTCTAAAGTTTGTTTCATTAGATAAAAGTACAACTAAGTCACAGCGGTACGCATCGTAGTCAGCGCCATATTGCAAATGTGGTAAATCAGTAACGTAATGATTTTATAATTAATTATTCGTATTCACTGGATAGAATATAACCGACTTAATGGCGTTTAGAAAAATTAGCCTTTTTGGGCTAACAATATGGCCGGTCAGTAGCGTAGCTTGACGCAGGGGGCCTCGGTGCAATATATTTTTCGGAGCCTCCCTGGGAAAAATAAAAAATAATTTTCTTCAGAACTTAAAATAAATAATAATAAAATTAAAATAAACATTAAAATAAAATAGACCTAAAACCATAAAAAAAGGAACATCTGTCAAGTCTGACAGAAATACAAAATATACGAGGTCTGATCAAAAAATAACCATTAATTATTTATTCATCAATAACTATCTTGTCCCCTTCAAAGTAATCCCCCTCAGATATAATACACTTATGCCAGCGTTTTTTCCAATCCTCGAAACACTTCTGAAACGCGCTTTTTGGTATCGCCAACAGCTCCTGTTTCGATTTTTCTTTTATCTCCTCAATCGTAGCAAAACGCTTTCCTTTCATCGGTGTCTTCAGTTTTGGGAAGAGGAAAAAGTCAGCTGGGGCCAAGTCCGGTGAATACGGTGGTTGAGGCATGACAACGGTTTTG